CATAATTTACTCACCCTCAAGCCATCCAAGGTGTACATGACTTCTTCTTTCAGACAAATACAATCGGAATTGTATTAAAAAATGTCCTGGCTCTTCCAAGCTTTATAATGGCAGTAAAGTGCATCCATCCATTTAAAAAGTGCTCCTCTGGGGGTTTAATAAGGCCTTCTGAAGTGAATCGATGCATTTGTGTAAGAAAAATATCCATATTTAAAACTGTCTGGGTCAAGGTTAACTAGACATATTTCTATTTCAAATAAATGTTGTTGTTTTGAACTTTCTATTCATCAAAAAATCCTGATGTAATGAAAGTGTATCACGGTTTTTCACAAAACAAAAAGTAGCACAACTGTTTTCAGCTGTGACAATAATCAGAAATGTTTCCTGAGCACCAAATCAGCATATTAGAATGATTTCTGAAGGATCGTGTGACACTGAAGACTGGAGTAATGTATAATTTGCCATTACAGGAATAAATTACATATTTTATTAAAATAGAAAACTGTTATTTGAAAATTTAATTTGTTTCACAATATTACTGTTTTACTGTTTTTTGATTAAATAAATGGGACCTTGGTGAGCATAAAAGACTTCTTTCAAAAACATTTTTACCAATCTTACCAACCTCAAACTTAATCAGTAAAGGATCTTATGATATCATGCACTAAGAATCATCAGAGGTTTAAGTGTTTCCAGACACTTATTAAACATTGCCATGGCATCTCAAAATTCAAGCGAAAAACTACATAAATAATAAATAATAATATTAAATACATAATAAATTAAATATTAGGACTAATGCATAAGTAAATAAGAAATGGGATATTTTTTAAGCGCTCAACTGACATGGCGCTAGCAATGCCATTTCCCAGGGATCACACTTACTAAAATATAAACCTTGAATGCATCGTATGTACAGTAAGTCAGCTCTGAGGAAAGCATCTGCCATATGAACAATTGTAAATGTATACTCATCTGATTAGATTGAGCACAATATATATTGTCTTTGTGTATGTGTGAATATATTCATTCTCGCCCACCTCTTTTCCCAAAGAAAATGTCTGTTTCTCTTATTTCCTAATAGCCGACTGAGACCACACAATTCCCTATAGTTATTCCTCACATTGCATTTAGAACTGATAGGAAAAACCTATTCAGTCAAATCCGTGGCAAAATAGTGTTCTTCATGACAGCTGAAGTCAGTCAGTGTGTCAAAATCACATAGGTTAGAGAAAGCTGCCAGCAGCAAATGGCAGGAGACAGAGAGGGAAGCACAAAGGTGCACATAGAATATGACATCAGAAGGAAAGACAGAACAACGAAGGGAAGGAGTGGAAGGTTGTGAGGGAAACAGTAGAGGAAGACATGGAGGAGAGTGTGGAAGTTTAAGAGAACAACAAAAATGTCAGCAGGAAAGACTGTATTTAGAAGTGATGAACATGGTGATGGTGAAAAGAGAATGTTAAGCAGATTGAAAAAAAAGAATGTATGTGGTTCAATAGAGAAGAAAATCCATGTTTGATCATCTATCTCAAAATATAGCTCTATCTATCTATCTATAAAATATTATATATATATATCTAAACGGTTCATTTGAATCAGTGAGTTGTCGACTCGAGAACAGCTGCAATCGGTTCATTCTAATTCGTGAATGAATCGTTTGGTGAGATTTGCGAACCGATTTAAAAGGTTCATTGTAAAGAATCAGTTCGTTCTTGAATCAGACACCGCTACTGCGTGTCGGAGCACGTGATATATTATAAGTAACGATATGTTTTATGAAATGTAGTGAAGTAAAAAGTACGATCTTATGCTTTGGAATGTAGTGAAGTAAAAGTAAAAGTTACTAAAAAATAAAACGACTCCAGTAAAGTACAGATACTTGAAAAATGTACTTAAGTACAGTA